CCTCCCTCCCCCCCCCCCCCCCTCTCTCTCTCTCTCTCCCTGACTCTCTCTCTCTCTCTCTCTCTCTCTCTTCCCCCCCCCCTTTCCCAGGAGTAAATTCCAATATTATCAAGATAATCATGGATTTACATTTGGGAAAGAGGCTTTTGACAATTCACCCACCCAGAACCCAAGTTCAGATTCTGCCAATAGACCCAGCGGGACCAGGGATCATGGGAACGTGCACGTCTTGCTCCAGCTCTGACTACTCAAGTCTGAATCTGCACGCTGCTCTGCAGGCGCGTGTGGAGCCTCGGATGCTGTGTGGCCACGTGGAGGGATGAAATCAAGGCTTCTCGTTTGTTGCTTTATAAAGTATGTTTCACCTTAATAATCAGCAGGGAAGATAATGAAATTACAAGAGATCTAAGCAGTGGAGTCCAGCTGGTGACCTATGAAGACTCACAGAAAACTGCCCAAGCCAGCACAGGCCAAGGGACTAGTGAAGCAGGCAAAGGCTAGGGACCTCACCCCACTCAAGACTGGGGATTCTCCTCTCCCCTCCACCAGGGCTTCAAGTGCACTATCCTTTATACACAGATCTAGACTACTCCTTTCCCCATTGGAAAATTCAAAACTTGTACTTTAGCTGGGCACGGTGGCACACACCTGTAGTTTCAGCTACTTAGGAGGCTGAGGAGGGAGGACCTCTGGAGCCCAAGAGTTTAAGACCAGCCTGAGCAACACAGAACACTCCATCTCAAAACAAAATCACCAAAATACAAAACAAAACAAAACAAAAAACCCTTGTATTTGGAGGGTCTGGATGCACAGTCTTTTAAAGCTTATGACCCTCAAGCTTTCCCCTCTCAGCCCAGGTTAACACAAATGCTAAAAGTTAATAGTGGCCTTTTGTCTTTGAGCTCAATGGCAATGCTATTAGAGTATGCCGCTCTGACAGCACACAAAGAATGCATTTTTCCAAAATTTTATATCTGGTCAAAAGCATGCACTGTAGCTAACTAAGTTACTACACACACACACACACACACACACACACACACACACACACACGATTTTCAAAGAAATCCAAACCTGAGTCTTTAAATTAACCCTTTCTCTCTCTCCTGCTGTTAACTTTTCTATTCAGTGACTCTCAAACTTGGAAACCTCCCCCCCATTTCTGGTATAGTGTTCAGTGCAAATTATAAAATCAATGCCCGTATCACCTTCAATTCCAGTAAAATAAGATGCCATCACATTGCCTGTCAGTCTTAGAGACCTAACAGAGTAATTTTCAGTGCATGGGGTCATACCCCGAGGAACAGGTGCATTTACCTATGTCAGCAATGTGCCTGGTCACACTACACACAGTAACTGATTCTTCTAAGTCAAGTTTAAGCTACTCCTACCCTTTAACTGCTCTTTATAGATACTACTAACAGAAAAGGCTCAACCTTGATGAGCTATATCAAAAGGGAAGATATTATATTTTCCCTTAAGCTCTTGCATCTAAAAAAATCTCAGTACAATCATAACAGTTCGTTTTGACATGATATCCACTGTTTCATCACTAGACAGGCAGGCAGGGAGGTAGACTGAAAAATAAACCAGGATTCACTTGAACTTCATAGGAAACTGAACAGCTAGTGTCCTGTTTTAGTCGTTTCTGAAAACTGAATTGTAAAATACAGTTTTGAGAAAGGCAGGCCACCAATATGTTTTTTTCCCCGTAGAAAGAATTACTGAAGCAATCCCTGATAGAATGTTACCACCCAGGATTATTTCCCAAACTCGGCTCCAGCACACAGAAATGGAGGGAAGAATTTTCCTACCAGGATCTGTCTCACTTTGTATACATAAGTGGGGATTATTTCTCCTATTATTTTAAAGCCAGAAGGGCAATGCAAATAGTAAGGATTAAAAGAGAGGGAGAGGGAGAGAGAGAGAGAGAGAGAGAGAGAGAGAGAGAGAACAGGTGGGGGAGAAAGAGAGGAGGAACTAACAGAAAGAGCAAGGGGGAAGGAGAGGCGAGAAGGGGGCAGGAGAGAGGAGAATATGAATTCACGATGCAGAGTCCCCAAAGTACTCTTGGCTACATGGACCCAGCACTCTTTACTATCATATCAGATACAGACTGCTTAATCTTAATTTTGCTTGTTAAAAAATATTTATCCAGATACAAAAATAAACCCACTGCAAATTACAAGTTGTCAGGGTTAAAAATCTACTTCTGTTTGTGTGGGGGAGGATAAGAGACCAGCATAGACATGAATCATTCTCAGTAATTTGAGTGTTTCCATGACATCAATGGGCACCCGTCCAGGACTCTGTCGAAGTCTGCGAGGTACCAAAGAGGCAGCGCAGCCAGCAGGAGGCTGGGAGGTGGACTTTTTTTTTTTTTCCAAGGATTATGCTCCTTGTGAAGATTTCATCTGTAGCATCCACTTTTACCATCAAATAGATTGCTCCGGAGATCATGAGTGAACACATTTCATTCTGATAGTGTAAGCCTTTAACTTTATTACAGCTTTTTGTTCCCAAATTCAACTATAAATCTGCCCTCAGAGCCCAAAACCCTGTTTGGGAGCAAAATAATCAGGGATTGTGGATAAAGCCCAAGAACCTTCTCAAACATAAGATTTTTATTCCTATCATTTTTTTTAAATGATAAAAAGCAGCCATTTTAAAATGACACCTCATTTTCCAGGATTTTTTTTTTTTTTTGTAAAAAAAAAAAAAATCTTTTGTGCAAATTGTCCACCGAAAATGAGCTAGGGTCTTAATGCTGATTTTCTGCTAAAAATTCACTGGAACGTTTGTTTCAGATAATAAAATTTTCAAGAGGGCTGATAACATGTTTGAGTTGGACCCTTAAGGAACTATCTGTTCTCCTGAACACAAAAGCCCCCACATCTCTGTGTCTCCTTCCATGTGAGCCATGGATTTTTGTCAGTCATACCAACTGGCTGGCGCGGACAGCCTCGGTCCTCCTTTCTCCATTCTTCGCCACCCACCTCCCCCCATCCCCACTACCACAACGGGCGCTTTGAAAGAGCTAAAGATCCTGTTTTCCCAATATTTAAAAGAGATAGCAGTGATGAACAAACCCGGCGCGTTCACTGCGGAATTTTCGAGACAACCCTCCAGTACTAGAATGCGACAGCCGCTGCGGATATTTTTTGGCACAAAGACAATGGTGGCAGTGCCAAGCCCTATGGCTAAAACTACTCAAAAGAGGCATAAGGGGAGCATTAATCGCTCAAGTCTTTTACTGCATGGAGTACCGTTGTCCATATTTTAAAAACTAAAAGTACCCGTTAGTAACATTTGTCGTATGCCCATAAATGGGGTGGGGAGGACTCCTGAAATATATACCAGAAACAAACCTTGTCAGGCTTTTGATTCATTTTTATACCTAAAAAGGACCAAATGTTAAATTCTGCTGCTGGTGACGATGCCGGTGCACGAAACGAATGATACGACCTAATGAAGTACACTGAAGGCTGAATGAAAGCTACAGAGGGGATTTCATAAGCTCAGTCGACATATTGGCTAAACAACTTTCTTCTGCAAAAATGATGTATACAAGGAACATGTAATACTATGTCACAATTTTTTAAATGAAACAAGAAAAACGCTGTAAGTGAGCAGACACAACATCCGTCAATCAATCCTTTTGGAGACAAAAGAGATCAGCACGCAGCGCCTTCTCTAGAACACGTCGGCATCTACAGGGAGCGAGCCATCCAGAAAGCCACCATGGGTTCTGTCCAGACGAACTTATCCTCCTGCTAAAAATCTATATTTAAATTTGGTTATTAAAAAATGGCACCAGATGATAATCGAAGAAGGATTCACTTGCTGCTTCTGTTGCCCATGAAAAACTAATTTAAGCAGAAAATATACAAGCAACTTACAATTCTTAAGGCCGATGTTTTTTGCTGATCTTTTCGATAACCTTTTATCATGCTATCCCAAGAAGCAGAAGGAAAACTTGTGTTTTTTTTTTTTTTTTTAATATGGGGGAGGTATGGTTAACAAATGTCCACAGAATCCAAATTCAATATTTTTGTATTCCTATATTATTTGCCATTTGACTTCCAATTTTACTTCCAAGATAGCCAAGGTATCCTACTGCAAGGAAACAGGTGACAATGGAAATACTGCACGAAGGAAAGACTGATCTCAAAACTCCATTCCATTCACAGGGATGCCACCAAAAAAAATCACCTTGAGTAGGTGACTGTCTCTGGACACACGGGATAGCTCGAAGTGACATGCAAGAGCCAGAGACGGGGTCAAGAGCAACTTATCAATAAATGATTTCTGGACATCGACGATCCCTCTGGTGGTTGCCCAGTAGGATAGTAAAAGGTCCT